CGGTGGAGCTTCGGAAAAGGCCCCAAGATGGGATCTCTTGGGTACAGAAGGTTGCGGCAGTGGAATTAGGGTTTCGTGGTGCTCATGGATGTTTTCGTGGTATATGAATATATATATACTAGGAAGAAGTAGGTCGGTGGAGCAACGAGGGGCCCACGAGGGTGGAGGGCGTGCCCCCTGCCTCGTGGCCTCCTTGATTGTTTCTTGACGTCCACTCCAAGTCCCCTGGATCACGTTTGTTCCAAAAATAACTCTCCCGAAGGTTTCATTCCGTTTGGATTCCGTTTGATATTCCTTTCTGCGGAACACTGAAATAGACAAAAAAACAGCAACTTGCACTGGGCCTTGGTTAATAGGTTAGTCCCAAAAATAATATAAAAGTGTAAAATAAAGCCCATTAACATCCAAAACAGAATATATAATAGCATGGAACAATAAAAAATTATAGATACGTTAGAGACGTATCATCATCCGTAGGGGCGCAGTTGGGCGCAGCCACGCGCGGCTGTGATGGAGTAGATGCTGGTGGAGGCCGGCCCGCTGGTGTGATGCGTGGACGCGCCCGCGTTGTGCCCAGTTTGTCCTCTTGGATGCGCGCCAGAACGGACGCCTGGGTGATTGTTGAGGGCGCTTGCAGCCGCACAGGAACGCGCAGCTCGTCCTTCAAGCCCAGGATGAAGTAGGTGACGAAGAACTTGGTGTTGATGGACGGGTCGAGCGCGAGCAGGTAGTACATTCTCTCGTCGAACGCCGCGAGGTACTCGGCGACATTGGCAGTCTGGCGGAGTTGTAGCAACTTGTGCATGACCACCTCAAACTCGTCGGCGCCGAACTCCTCGAGCACGGCTGATGTAAAGAGTTCCTAGGTGATGCCGTGATGTGTTTGACGAAATGCCTGCAGCCAGTGTGCGGCCTGGCCTTCGATGTACAAGGTCGCGGTGGCCACCTACTTGTGCGGCTCGACCTTGTAGAGCTCGAAGTACGCCAGGCAGCGGGCCAGCCACAGGTATGGAGCGGAGCCGTCGAACCGAGGGAAATCATGCTTCGGTGGCTTGTTGTAGTCGTTGCTGTGGTAGCCCGATGTTGGAGAGGACAGGGCGACCGGAGCGACGAATCCGCCCTGTGGGCCACCGAAATCAGCGGGGGCGATGGTCGCCGAGGCGCGCGTGGGTGGACGCGAGGCGACCTGGGTCGGCGGCCACGCGCGGCGAGTGCGGAGGCGGCAGGGGCGGTGGTGGGGGTTGTTGCGCAGCGGCGGGCTGGTGGAGCACGGTCGTGACCGAGCCCGATGGCGATGCAGAGCCCTCCACTGTCTTGCGGGTCGCGTCGACGTCGGCCTGGGTCAGATCGATCTACCGGGCAAGTCCGCGCACGTCCTGCGAGATCTGCGCGTTGAAGGCGGCCTGAATCTCGATCTGCTTGTCGTGGGTCGCCTTCTGCTCATCCATCTTGGCGAGGAGGGACCCGAGCATCTTGGTGATGCTGTTGTTGCCCTCGTCCATGGCGGCCAGCACCTGACGCGTCGCCGCCGAAGCTTTGGAGGGCGCCGTTGTCTTGCTTGGGAGAGATCGAACCCCGCGACGGATTTTGGGTGTGCTTGCCGAAGCAGCACACACCGGCGTGGTGGATGTTACCGATCTACAACCAGCTCGGCGGGGAGAAAAATTTGGATCGATTTTGGCTCTGAGTACCAACTGTAACGAACTGGGGAGGAGGAGGATCGAGAGCAGGTGAGGGAGAGCGAGAGAGAGATCGGGGGAGGAAGACGAGATTGCTTTCAGAGGAAGATTCGGATGAGTGACAGTCTGTTACATCACACATCCTCACCAGCCACAGGCGGCCAGCTTTAAAACCCCTCGCTACTCACACACGCACACGCCGGGTGGGCCCCTTCCGTAGGATGCCAAGTCACACATGCCAAGTGGCCAGATGTGACAAATTAGGTCATCATTAGGGCCGTCACTATAGGTTTGGTCCGGGGGAATTATCGTACACCCATGAATATAACCACCATACCGACTCACTTGATGACGAGGTACCAGACCTAAGGTACTGAGTACTGACAGTAGTTGCCTAGTTGGGACTGTGCACGAGAGTATGCCCCCCGCCCGCAAAAAAAAAAAGTACGTCCCGCCGGCTGCATCCTGCATGTGTTTAACAAAGAGAACTGGAAAAAAAAAACAAAGAGAACCGAAGACTGCAGTGCAAAAAAGAAAGGAAAAACCCGGAAATGGCCTCGTCTTGCCTGCTGTATGGGAGCGTCCCCGTCCAGTCTCTGAAACGGTTATTGAATTTTGCGATTTTTGGATACTGCAATCGCTTTCAAATTAAGTTGCAATGAACATCACGCACGGCCCGCAGGACCGAACACC